AGGAAATCCTGGAAAGATGGAACCAGCGGGGTTCTGGGAAGTGGCGGTGAGGAGGCTGAGCTGAGGGCGTGGGTATGCATCAAAGGCGGGACAGAGAAGGGGGTCAAAGGTGATCGGAGGAACTTGGGACGTGGGAGGCAGCCAAGGAGGCTAGGCTACCAGATTCTGAAACATATGACCCGGAACTGGGACCAGGGTGTCAGGGGCCTGGGAAGAAATGGGACCTTGCCGTGGGGGCAAGTGACCAGAGTGAGAAAACTCAGAGTGGGGTTCAATTTGGACAAAGTGCACTCTGCACCCAGGGCCGTGGTAGGGGGTGGGGACTGCTGGACCACTGCGTGGAGTGGTTCAGCCTGACAGGAATCAGTGCGGGGACCTTTAGCTCCAAACGCAGTCAGGCAAAGGGGGGAGGCGTGGACACACGGATGTGACCTGGTGGGTCCAGGGACCAACCAGATGGTCTCCAGAACAGGGACCTGGGCGCTGGAGATCAGGACGGGACAGGGAAGCCTAGGGGCAGAGGGGACCCAGGAGAGAGAGACTCGGCAAGGCAGCTCAACGTCGGCCCAGCCAGGGACAGGAGAGAGGGGACCTAGGGCTCCAGGAGCGCGCGACGCTGGGCCCGGCCATGGGTTCCAGGGCAAGGAGGCCTGGGCAGGGGTCGGGGGCTGTGGGAGAAAGCGCGGGGGTCCCTACGCGCTGAGCAAGGAGAGCCGGGGGTGCAGGGCAGCCGGGCTCTGACTCGCCTGGGGCCTGAGCAAGGGTCGGGCGGCCCAGGCCGGGGCTGAGGATCGGCCTGGGGCTGGCCGGGCGTGAGTGGCGTGGCCGGGGAGCCCGGGGAGCCCCGTGGGTGGGCCGGGGACACGCACCGTAGGGCTGGCCCTGCAGGTCGTACTGCTGCATGCGGTACACGGTGAACTCGTGCGCGGCGTCGGCGGCGGGCAGCGGCGGCGCCACCAGCAGCAGCACGGCGGGCAGGAAGACGATGAAGCCAAGCGGCAGGCACGACGCCTTCAGCATGTTCTCCAGCACCTCGCCCGCTTCCTCCAGCATCCTGGCTGGCGGCGGGGCCCCACGGGGCGGCGGCAGGGACGGGACGGTGGCAGCGGCGGCTCCCGCGGACTCACCTCGGCGTGGGTAGCCGCCGGGGTCCTGCGGGCGCCGCGCCGGGCAGCCCGCTCTCGCTCTGGGGTCCTGCGGGCACCGCCACGAACCGCCCCGCCAGCCGCGCTGCCTTTCGGGAATTGCAGTCAGCCCGGCGCTCGCTGAGCTCCCTGGGAGTTGTAGGCCCACTCTGGGACTCCCGGAAGGTGCGACGGGCTGTTGGGCTAACACCGCTAAGTTTCACATAAACTCCAAGTCATAAAATGCAGTAAAATGTTTTAAAAAAACTATTTCGCAGTAGCACTTTCTTAACCCTGTCTTTGGCGTGAGGGGAGGTGGGGTGAGGGGCGAAATGTGGCGGGTGGCGGGGGGGCGGGGGTGGGAAACAAGACGTGACCTTGCGACCTGGAAGGAAATTGGAGTTAAAGGGACAATAAGTGCCTGTCTGGCGCGCTAACTCTTCTGGGGGTTGTAGTCCCATCAAACAAACACAAAGGGTCACGGGAACTGTAGTCTCCCTGGCAGAAATTGCTGAGAAAAACAAAAATCACTTCAACTCCCCCAAGGATGTAGATGTCAAAGTCCACGAGGGCAAAGACTTACGTCTGTTTTGTGCATATGATGTATCCCCGGCACCTAGCACAAGACTTGGCGCACGGCGGGTGGCCTGTGCCATTTTTGAAAGAATGAATGAAAAATAAAAAGTCATGATAGTCAGTTCCTAAGGGAGGACGCAGTGGGTTATGGGACTTGTAGTCTGGAGCCTGCGGTTTATGAAGGAGTTTGTTGCAGGCTTATTTATATTTATCTTTATTCACAGTTGGGGCATATTTGTACTAAAAAGGTATTAGTTGTTCACCAGAAATTTCAAGTTAACTTCTGGGTATTCCACGTTGGTTTTTCTCTAACCTGCCAACCCTAAGAACCCAGTGTCTCAGGGCTAGAGGTACCTAAGCAACGTTCCTTTGTCCAGATGGGAAGACTGAGCCCCAGGGTTCAGCAGACAGCAGCCCTGAGTCTCAACATCCCAGGCTCTATAGGTTGCCTAAGGAGTCGGGGCTTCCTTTCTGTCCCAGGTGAGAAGTGGTATTTGTGCCGATTAAGAGCCTTGGCTAAAAATCCCAACTCCTCCCTTTCCCAGCTGTGTGGCTTTCAGCAAGTTGCTTCACCTCTCTGAGCCTCGGTTTCCTCTGATATAATGAATCAAGCACTCTCCCCGCCGGTGGCATGTGAGAATTCTATTTAACTAGTTGTTTATTATTATTATTATTATTATTAGAGACGTAGTCTCTGTCACCCAGGCTGGAGTGCAACAGCTCCACGTCAACTCACTGCAAACTTCGCCTCCCGCATTCAAGCAATTCCTGTGCCTCAGCCTCTGGAGTAGCTGTAATTACAGGCGTGAACCACCGCGCCCAGCTGGAAAGGGGGTTTCTGAGCGTGGTGCTGGGTTACCGAGCACTTACTGTGTGCCAGGCCATGTGCTGGGTGCTGGGGACACGGCCAGGAACCCGACAAAGCCACAATACCCACCGACGCAGAGCTCAAAGTCGGAAGGAGGAAATGGATGTGTGACCAGAGGCGATGGGAGCGGTGATAGAGGACACACAGGCAGCTGTGGGAAGCCCAGAGGAGGCCTAGGGAGGCCAGGAAATCAGGGGAGGCTTTCTGGAGGAGGAGACACTTAGGCTGAAACTCTAAAGATGAGCTGGAGCAGTTGAGTGAAGAATGAGGGAAAGCTGTGCCCAGTAAAAGCAGAGCTGTCATGCAGGAAACACAGGCAGCTATGGGCGCCTAGCGGAGACCTAGGGAGGAGAAGTCAAAGCAGGCTTCCTGGAGGAGGTGACACTAAAGCTAAGGTACAAAAATGAGCAGACAGAAGTTGAGTGATGAATGAGCCAAGGCGCATTCTATCAAGGCCAGTCCATCTGGGGCAACAAAGTTTAAGTGAAAAGCCCCCAGTTGGGAAGGAGCAAGAAGGTTCAGCTCAGCCAAAGCAGGGCAGAGGGGACAATGGAGCCAGCTTACACGGGCCCAGAAGGCAGACAGAGAGCTCCGGACCTGCCCAGACTCCACTCATCCCAAATTCCACCAACACCCCACCCTGCCTTCCTGCTGTGATCCCCACTAAACACACACAGAACAGGAATCAGGAGCAGATAAGTACCCCCTCTTATTATGCATGCGGAGGGGTGTTTGGGACACACCGGTGAAGTGGCCGGCCACAGTTCCATCTGTCTGCAATTGGCCAGTCACAGTAGCTCATGCCTGTAGCCCCAACACTTTGGGAGGCTGAGGCGGGAGGATTACTTCAACCCAGGAGATTGAGACCAGCCTGGGCAACATAGCAAGACCCTGTCTCTCTCTCTCTCTTTCTTTCTTTTATTTTTTTTTTTTGAGAAGGACTCTTGCCCTGTCATCCAGGCTGGAGTGCAGTGGCATGAACTGGGCTCACTCCTCCTCCCGGGTTCAATCGATTCTCCTGTCAGCATCCCGAGCATCTGGGATTACAGGCATGCGCCACCACACTTGGCTAATTTTTGTATTTTTAGTAGAGATGGCGTTTCTCCATGTTGGTCAGGCTGGTCTTGAACTCCTGACCTCAGGTGATCCACCTGCCTGGACCTCCCAAAGTGCTGGGACTACAGGTGTGAGCCACCGCGCCCGGCAATTTCCATGAATTTTCAATAGCCACGGCTGGCTCACGGCTGCTGTGTTGGTGGGTAAACGGCCCCTCCACGCCACATCCCCATCATACAGTGGAGAAAAATGACATAAAGCAGAGCTGCCTGAGCTCAGGCGGCGGGCAGGGTGGATTCTGACTCTCGCCACCCAGACTCTGGACTGGGCAGGGTGGCTTGGTCCTGGGAGGAGGAGGGCGAGCGCTGTCTATGAGCTGCAGGTGCCAGAGGCTTCTAGGTTTACATCTGCAGCGAAACCGCAGCCACCCGCCCCATGGGGCTACCGAAATATAAACAGATTCAAATTAAACACAATCTACACTTCCAAGTTCAGTTCTCTGGTTCACCGTAGCCCGGTGGGGCTGGCGTCTCCTGTACAGAATGCGGTGGAGTTGAACATCTCCACGGAAAGTTGTTTTTTTTTCTTTTTTTAGAGACAGGGTCTCGCTATGTTGCCCAGGCTGGAGTTCAGTGGCTATTCACAGGCGAGATCCCACTAAGGATCAGCACGGGAGTTTTGACCCGCTCCGTTTCCAACTTGGGCCGGTTCACCACTCCTTAGGCAACCTGGTGGTCCCCCGCTCCCAGGAAGTCACCATATTGATGCCGAACTTTGGCAGACACCCAACTGGCATAGCGCGCTACAGCCCAGAACTCCCGGGCTCAAGCGATCCTCCCGCCTCAGCCTCCCGAGTAGCTGGGACTACAGGCACGTACCACCGCACCCGGCTCCACAGGAGGTTTTACGGGACACGTAGTCCCCTGTGGCTGGCGCTGGGCAGGTACCGGCAACCTTGAAGCTGAACCTTCATCTTCAGTGATTAAACCATTTTACAGATGGGGAAAGCCGAGGCCGTTCATGCTGAAGGGGACGTGAGGGAAGATTTCCCAGGCCAGGAGGCCAAGGCCGCTGCCTCTGCCGGCCCCCAGACCAGGTCCCCAAAAGGTGCAGAGGCCAGAGCTGGGGCGTGGGCCGTGCCATTTGTAAAGGGGAAGTGAACAAGGAGAGGTGGCATTAACTGTCACTGTCACCCCCACTTCCCGCAATGCCCAGAGGTTGTCCACACACACGCCACCCTCACAGCCACGCCTCAAGGGCACTGGCCCTTGGCCCTCTCTAGCAAAGACACACCCAGTTGCCCCTGATCCACAGCCCCCCTGAGCCGCGGTCCCCACACGTGCACGCACCGGGGAATAAGAGGCTATGACATCACGTACCATGATGGAACTTCAATGTTGCCAGGGCACGCACCCCACGGGCACCCCTCGCAGTCTGGGAGCCCTACTGAGGCCCAAGGAGGGGCCGGGACTTCCCCAGGATCACCCAGAAGCGGGGGCGTGGGGAACCCACTCGCCCCCACATCGGGGCGCTCTCTGCTCCTACGGGGAGCGGGGGGTGGTTGCCTCCTTGTCCAGGGTGACCACAGGAAGCCCACTCAGCGTCAGAAGCCCTTACGGGCCACCGGGAAGGCCAGGGGGGCCTGCCCGGTCCTCTGCTCCCCATGCAGGCGAGGCTGCCTGCACACAGCTTCCTGCCCCCCAGGAGGGCCTGCCTGGCACACACCGGCGGCTGCCCCGTCCGTCCACAAGGCTGCAAGCTCAGATGCTCCGCACGCTGGAGATGCTGGATAGGGGCTCCCGCATCCGAAAGCTGAGCGACCGGGAGCCCCGAAAGCTGTCCCTCGGCCTGAGCGAGCTGTCGGTGGTGGAGGCTCCGGAGTGAGCCTCGACGGCCCGGGCCAGGCAATCCCCGGGGCCACGCACGCCCAGCCGGAGACACCCGCAGCAGAGGAAGCTGAGCACCGCCTGGCACACCTCCCTGCTGCGGAAGGAGTAGATGACCGGGTTGACCGCAGAGTTGAGGACGGCCAGCGCCAGGATCCAGTCCATGCCCCGCAGGTACTCCTGGGCCCAGAGGTTGGAGCCGAAGACGTCGGCCAGCAGCAGCCCGAAGAGGGGGCCCCAGCACACCAGGAAGGCCAGCAGGATGAGCAGCACCGTCTTGAGCAGGCGGCGGGCTTTGCGGCGGGCGGCGGGGCGCGGGGCTTTCTGCCCGCTGGCCTGCACCAGGCGGAAGATGGCCCCGTACAGGGCCATGATGGTGGCCAGGACACCCGCGAAGATGACCAGGCAGAAGAGGATGTAGCGCTTGGAGTAGAGCGGCAGGAGGCTGGAGCAGCGCTGGAAGGCGCACAGGCAGTTCCAGCCCAGCAAGGGCAGCAGCCCCAGCAGCGCGGCCAGCAGCCAGCACAGGCCGATGAAGCCGTACACGCGGCCCGTCTTGGTGGCCCCGCTCTCGGCCACCGGCCGCACCATGGTGGCGAAGCGCTCCCCGGCGGTGAACAGCAGGCTGAAGGTGGACGCGGCCAGCGCGGTGAAGAGCAGCCCCTCGCGCAGGAACCAGTGCACAGGTGACAGGCGGAAGGTGCGGGGACCCGACAGCAGCACGTTGGCCAGGTAGGCCGCGCCGGTCAGCAGGTCGCTGAGCGTGATGTTCACCAGGCAGTAGTACACCCAGCGCCGGGAACGCATGTGGCTCGCGATGGCCGCCAGCACCAGCAGGTTCTCCAGCACCACCAGGCAGCCGGCGGCCACCGACAGCCCCCGCAGCGCCCCCAGGCCGCCGTCCTCCGGCCCCCCGCGCCCGGCCAGCCGGCCCGAGTGGTTGTAGTGCAGGACGATGAGCCGGCTGTGCCCGCCGGCCGCCAGCTGTTGGCAGGACTCGGGGGCCGCCGGGGTCCCCGTGGCGTTCATGGCCTCCCCCCGGGGCTGACTGAGGCCCTGGGGGAGGGTGGAGCCGCCTGCCTCGCTGGTCTTGGTTTCCTGTTATTTGAAATTTCCTGTTATGTTCAAGGTACCCTCCGGGGTGGAGGTAAGGCCGAGGGCAGGGAGGGGCACCCCAACGGTCGGCCCCCACCCCGGCTCCCGGAGGCAACGCGCTGGGGCTGCCCTGGCTGTCAGGCCCCCACCCCTGCCCCTGCGGCCCCCTTCCTGTCCTGGAAAGCGGAAGACACGCAGGGACTCGGAGCTGTCAGTCACTGAGGGGCAATGGGCCCCCACATGGGACAGCCAACCCTCTCCAGCAGGACGACTCCTCCTCCCCGCCAGCCCCGATCACCCCCAAAGACCCGTCTGCACCACTGAGGTCTCCCCAAATGCCCCAAGCATGCTCCGCACACAGCAGGGTGCTTAATAAATGTCAAGTGCTCGAACGCCCTTGAGGACTGACTCATCAGACTTTACCTTCTCAATAGAGCCTGATGCATTATGCTCCTTTACAGAAGGGGAAACTGAGGCCCGGAGAGGTGGCCTGAGACTGACTTTCCGCCCTCGGGAGGACACGCACCTCCAGGGAGAGGGACACCCAGGGACAGGCTGGTAGGGGTTCGGGGCCGGCCCTGGTCCTGGGAGTCCTGATTGCCTCTCCCGCCCCTGAGCTCACCCTGCTGGGAGCAGAGCTGCGGGACCCACAAAAGCAGGGACTTGCTCAACCACCCCCACAGCCCTGCTGACACCCGCTCACAGTGATTCAGCCTGAGGTGAGGTGGCTGTGGGTCTGAAGGGGGAGACACACCCTGCCTTGGGTCTGAGTGGGGAGGCAAGGCCCTGCCCTCGGGTCTGAGCAGAGAGACACACCCTGCTTTGGGTCTGAATGGGGAGGCAGGCCCTGCTCTGGGGTCTGAGGGGGGAACACGACCCTGCTCTGGGGTCTGACGGGAAGGCTCAGCTTTGCCCTGGGGTCTGAGCTGGGGGAAGCAGGCCCTGCCCTGGGGTCTCAGGGGGAAGGCAAGGCCCTGCCCTGGGGTCTGAGGGGGGAGGCGAGGCCCTGCCCTGGGGTCTGAGGGGGAAGGTGAGGCCCTGCCCTGGGTCTGATGAAGAAGACACATCCTGTCCTGGGGTCTGAGCAGGGAGGCATGGCCCCACCCTGAGGTCCGAGTGGGGACACACAGCCTTGTCCTGGGGTCTGAGGGGGGAGGCTTGGACCTGCCCTGGGGTCTGAGGGGGGAGGGTCGGCCTTGTCCTGGGGTCTGAGCGGGGAGGGTCGGCTTTGTCCTGGGGTCTGAAGGGGAGGCTCAGCCTTGCCCTGGGGTCTGAGGCATATGGGGACCTGGACGTCACCTGTCATGGACAGAGGGTGGGGTCTCTGCTGTCCACCTCCGCCTGTGTCTGTGACTCCCACTGGTCCCCACCCAGGAGGCCTTGGGGTGCGGAGTGGTTTGGGAAATAGTGCAGAACCAGAGGTGTGAGCAGGACCCAGGATAAGTCCCTGCTGCGTGGCTCGTCCCACCCACAATCACCCCTAGGCCAGGCCTGCTGACCACCAACGAGGGTCGTGAGGGCCCTCACCTGCCCCTCACCCCCAGGAGCCTGTGGTCTTCAGCCTTCCTGAGACAATGGTGTCCTTAGCCTCAGGGTGAGGACAGCTGCACTCATTCTACCAGCCAGGTGTCCTGGAGGGGTCACAGGTGTACCATGTGGCACAGGCATCCCATAAGGGCACAGGCGTCCCATGAGGACACAGGCGTCCCATGAAGGCACAGGCGTCCCATGAGGAGTACAGGCGTCCCATGAAAGGTACAGGCGTCCCATGAGGAGTACAGGCGTCCCATGAAGGCACAGGCTTCCCATGAGGGCACAGGCGTCCCATGAGGGCACAGGCGTCCCATGGAGGGTACAGGCGTCCCATGAGGGCACAGGCGTCCCATGAGGAGTACAGGCGTCCCATGAGGAGTACAGGCGTCCCATGAGGGCACAGGCATCCCATGAGGGCACAGGCGTCCCATGAGGAGTTCAGGCGTCCCATGAGGGCACAGGCGTCCCATGAGGGGCTCAGGGGTCCCATGAGGAGTACAGGCGTCCCATGAGGAGTACAGGCGTCCCATGAGGGCACAGGCGTCCCATGAGGACACAGGCGTCCCATGAGGGCACAGGCGTCCCATGAGGGCACAGGCACCCTATGAGGACACAGGCGTCCCATGAGGGGCACAGTATCGGTCCTGAGAAGTGGAGGCATCTGAGGGAGGGCAGGGCTGGCAGGAGGCAGGGGCTGAGGGCAACAGGTGCTGGGGCCCCATGGCCCGTCCCTTTGCTTACAGTTCAGCTCTGAAGCAGGACAGTGACGGGAGGCTCCATGTGAGGCACTGCCTCGGGAGGCAGCTGCCTTTTGTCCCTGGAGGTCACCAAGCAGAAAGGGATCTGAAGAGGGATGTGGGCTTGAGGAGGAGGGGCGAGCAGCTGGGATGTGAGGCCAGGAGGGGACAAGCGGCCAGGTCTTTCCCAGGCACTACCCTGCCCAGTGAGTAGACAACCGAGCCTCAGTTCATCCCCACATGACTCAGGCACCTACACAAAGAGACACCGTGTGTTCTGAGGCTGAGTACCCCATGATGGACTAAGCCCTGATCCCAGGCTCAGCCCCCTATGCTTGACTGAGCCCTGATCCTAGGCCCAGCCCCCTACTCTGCACTGAACACTGATCCCAGGCTCAGCCCACATCCTAAACTGAGTCCTGATACCAGGCGCAGTCCCTGTCCTAGACTGAGCCTTGATCCCAGGCCCAGTCCCCATCCTAGACTGAGCCCTAATCCCAGGACTGAGCCCTCATCCCAGGCTCAGCTTCCTATCCTGGACCAAGAACGTCAGGTCCCAAGCCCAGCCTCCATCCTAGACTGATCCCTGACCCCAGGCTCAGCTCAGACACCAAGCTGAGCCCTGCCCCTGGTTTAGCCCCAATCCTGGACTGAGCCCGGATCCCTGGCTGAACCCTGACCCTGACTGAGCCTACAGGATGAACAAACCCAATCCCTGAAACCAGATCCTGGTTAGAACTTGCTCCTGGACTGGACCAGGCACAGTGGCTCATGCCTGCAATCCCAGCACTTTGGGAGGCCGAGGAAGGCAGATCACTTGAGGCCAGGAGTTGGAAACCAGCCTGGCCAACGTGGTGAAACCCCATCTCTACCAAAAATACAAAAAAACTAGCTGGATGGCCAGGCATGGTGGCTCACGCCTGTAATCCAAGCACTTTGGAGGCCAAGGTGGGTGGATCACCTGAAGTCGGGAGTTCAAGACCAGCCTGACCAACATGGTGAAACCCCGCCTTAAAAAAACAAATTAAGGCCAGGCACGGTGGCTCTAGCCTGTAATCCCAGCACTGTGGGAGGCCGAGGCGGGTGGATCACGAGGTCAAGATATCGAGACCATCCTGGTCAACATGGTGAAACCCCATCTCTACTAAAAATACAAAAAAAAAATTAGCTGGGCATGGTGGCGCGTGCCTGTAATCCCAGCGACTCAGGAGGCTGAGGCAGGAGAATTGCCTGAACCCAGGAGGCAGAGGTTGCGGTGAGCCGAGATCGCGCCATTGCACTCCAGCCTGGGTAACAAGAGCGAAACTCCGTCTCAAAAAAAAAAAAACAAAACAAACAAACAAAAAAAACCTAGCTGGATATGGCACAAGCCTATGATCCCAGCTATTTGGAAGGCTGAGGCACGAGAATTGCTTGAGCCTGGGAGCCGAGATTGCGCCACTGCACTCCAGCCTGGACAACAGACCAAGACTCTCTCTCTCTCAAAAAAAAAAGGATTGGTCAGGTGCAGTGGCTCATGCCTGGGAGGCCGAGGCGGGCAGATCACGAGGTCAAGAGATTGAGACCATCCTGGCCAACATGGTGAAACCTCGTCTCTACTGAAAAATACAAAAGTTAGCTGGGCGTGGTGGCGCACGCCTGAAGTCCCAGCTACTCGGGAGACTGAGGCAGGAGAACGGCTTGAACTCAGGAGGCAGAGACTGTCGTGAGCCGAGATTGCATCACTGCACTCCAGCCTGCTGCCTGGTGACAGAGAGAGTCTCTGTCTCAAAAACAGAAAAAAAGGATTTGCCCATGGACTGATCCCTGATCCCACGCTGAGCCCCTGCTCTGGCTGAGTCCCAAGCCTGACTGAACCTTGACCCCAGCTGATCACCAGACCCCAGGCCCAGATGGCAAATCAGGACCAAATTAAAGCGCCATAGGAGGCCGCGTTTAGCCTGACTTCAGGCCAAGCTATCTGACAGCCATTTTCCACCATGAGTTAATCACCTGCCTCCTGGGGAAAAAAACTTGATGTGCATTAACATGTGTTTAATCTGGCCGGGCGCGGCGGCTCACACCTGTAGCCCCAGCACTTTGGGAGGCCGAGGTGGGAGGATCACTTGAGGTCAAGAGTTTGTACCCAGCCTAGCCAACATGGTGAAACCGTGTCTCTACTAAAAATACAAAAATTAGCCAGGCGTGGTGACTCATGCCTATAATCCCAGCTACTTGGGAGGCTGAGGCAGGAGAATCGCCTGAACCCAGGAGGCGGAGGTTCCAGTGAGCCGAGATCGCTCCACTGCACTCCAGTGAAATTATGTTTCTAAACAGCCCCCCACAAACACACACACACAAAACGTACTTAATCTAAGCATTATCCCCCCACTGCAGAAGGGCAGCCTCTCCTCTAGAAATTCACCCCAAAGACAGGGCTCTAACAAGACTAAGTATGTGCGCAGAAGGTCATTGCCTCAAGTGCTATTTGTGAAGGCCAAACACTGGAGTCAACCCAAATGTCCACACACAGGACAGAGAATGAGGAATGAACGACACAGCAACCCAAAGAGGAGAGCTTCGCAGATTGCACCACTGCACTGCAGCCTGGGCGACAGAGCGAGACTCCGGCTCAAAAGAAAAGAATAATGAGCTCCATGAATGGAACAAAGTGCTTGCCAGGACATGTTGGGATTGATTGATTGATCGATCAATTGATTGATTAATTTAGAGATAGAGTCTTGCTGTCACCCAGCCTGGAGTGCAGTGGCATGATCTCAGCTCAATGCAACCGTCACCTCCCAGGTTCAAGTGATTCTCCTGCCTCAGCCTCCCTAGTAGCTGGGATCACAGCCGCACACCACCACGCCTGGCTAATTTTTGTATTTTTAGTAGAGACGGGGTTTCACCATGTTGGCCAGGCTGGTCTCGAACTCCTGACCTCAGGTGACCCACCACCTCAGCCTCCTAAAGTGCTGGGATTACAGCCTGCTGTTTTGAGCAAAGTTTTGCTCTGTCGCCCAGGATGGAGTGCCATGGTGCCATCAGAGCTCACTGCAGCTGTGACCTCCTGGGCTCAAGTGATTCTCCAGCCTTAGCCTCTTGAGTAAATGGGACTACAGGAATACACCATCATGCCTGGCTGAGTTTTTTTTTTTTTTTTTTTTTTTTTTTTTTTTTAGATGGAGTCTCGCTCTGTCACCCAGGCTGGAGTGCAGAGGCGTGATCTTGGCTCACTGCAACCTCCGCCTCCTGGGTTGAAGGGATTCTCGTGCCTCAGCCTCCCGAGTAGCTGGGATGACAGGCACACGCCATCACATTCAACAAAATTTATTTTTGTATTTTTAGTAGAGACAGAGTTTCACCATGTTGGCCAGGATGGTCTCGATCTCCTGACCTCGTGATCCACCCACGTCGGCCTCCCACAGTGCCAGGATCACAGGCGTGAGCCACCGCGGCCAGCCTGTTCACGCTTTCTATATTCAAAGATAAAACGGAATCAACAAGGATAGAGGAAAAAGCTGTAAGATGGAATATCATAGAGATGAAAACAGAACCAGCCCATGGAACTTGCGCA